TAAGTGGCAGCGGATGTTGCATTTTCTAACAAACGTTTTCTCACAGTTCATGTGACTGAGAAATAATACACTTCTTATATTTTATTTGATGTTATTACTTTAAATTTTTCATGGATATACGGTAATTTTGAGTGGATGTTCGCGAGATTTCATGTCGTAAATTCGCAGAGGTGGGAACCGAGTGAAAGAAAAGATAATCCATTATGGCTGACGGGTTCCGAAATATTTTCCGCATGCCTCTGATTGCAACGTGATGCTTTTGAGAAAAAAATCCAAGTACTGTACGGTGTTGCAGATTATTCGCGAGGAACATTTATTCAAGTTGCTCTTGGGGCATCATTTATTATTTCGGAATCATTAGAGAAGCTTGGATGATTTTCCGGAATACGTGTTGAGATCATCTTCCGGGTTTCGTGTTCACTTATTATTATTATTATTATTATTATTATTATCCCGGATGGCATCATGAATCAACCGAGGAATAAGGTGGATTGATTTAACGGGAACAGTCCTGGTTGCGATTATTATTCAGTCTGTGGTGAAAACAGATTATTATTATTTCTAAGATGCTCAGTTTTTATAAATTATTTTACTCTTGATATCATCTAAAATAAATGCGATACTGTACATGAATTCACACTGCTGTAGGTTTTATTATAAGAAAGCTGGGGAAATTAACATATTTTCATCAGACCCAAATTTATACAGTATTACTGATGAACAGTTGAACCTCTCTAAGTTGAATATCTAGGGACCAGGAAAAAAATTCAAATTCAGGAGGTTTTGATTTTTTGAGGTTTTGAGTAAAGGAAACAAACATTTTTTCTGCAAGGAAAAGTAAGAAAATTGTGGGAAATTGTAGATGAGGATATTCTGGTCCTAAACTTGCTTCTTAGTGAGTTCACAGCTTGCTAAACTTGGAGGCAGGGGTTCATTTGTTCAATTAGTCTTTCATTTCATTTCAAGATGCATGAAATCAATTTTTATTGATTTTCTCTTTCATATTTCAAGGAAATGATAACCAAGAGGCCTCAGAAAATTTGAATTACAGAGGTTTGGATGGGTTTATGTAAATTAAAACAAACTCATTTTACGTCAAAAAATCTATAATTAACTTTTAACCAGTCAGGAGTTAATAAAGAATATCAAAGAATCTTCTAAAAACTACATTACTTTCAAAACCAAGCCATCGTTGAGGCAAACAAAAGAGGCTTGACAAGCGTTTGGATCAAATAAAGCAATTGGTAATTTTTGGGTATTTTGGGGGTGCTTTTTTCCCCCCATAATCTTTTTGTCAAGGTATTTTTATGCCTGTTGCGCATTTTCTTTTCGCTTTTCCCCACGTACGTCTTCTGTTTATGTGGGTATTTCACAAAAATTTCAAGGAAGAAAACAAAGTCGACCGAGTAAAATAATGGATCCCGATTTTTTTTTCTCGCTTCGAGCCTTTTTGTTTCTTTTCTTTCCCCAATTTTTTCTATTTTTTGTTGCTCTTATTCTCCCACGACTCCTCACGAAAGATTTTTCGTCTCGTTTTTCCCCGGTTTCTGTTGGTACCGAAAGTCCCGGAAATTACGCAAATTCGCGTCTCGGAAGACTGGCTTTTTGATTTTACTTTCCTCGGAGAAACAACCTCGGGACGACTGGATGATGTTACATGTTTCATCGTTCGACACGCCTGATGTAGCAGTAATATCCATTCATGCCGACGACCTTTGCTATTTATTTGTAGCGAAAGGAAGACCCGAGTCACTTTCGCAAAGCGATCCCGTCAGTTTCCGGCTCTTGCGTCGATGACGAGGGAAATTTCTAAAATTTCCGAGGTTGAACTCATCCGTTTCAGAGTCGGAGGGAGAGATATAAATATCAGTGAGACCCCGAGATGGGGACGTAATTGGTGCATCAAGAGTGTCCCCAAGTCAAAATGTCCCCAAGGCAAGTCTCATTTTCCCTTAGACTTGCATTATATAATTTTTAAATGGTGTTTCATGTACAAAATACTCACCATAATTCCATGAAAATAAAAATTGTCTCCCAATTTAAACTGATTCAATCAATATATTTCAACGCAATGTGGGCATTTGGGGAATTTAATACTGATACCTCTGTATACAGTGCATAGAAATGTTGGCATTCTCTGTAAAAATAATGTTCAAGTGAAAAAGAGAGAAGGAAGTCCCTTTCTGCTGGAGGAAATTTTTTTAAACTAGCTAAATGGATGGTAAATTGGTGAGAGAAATGCCCAAGAACTTTTCTTACATCAATTTTATGATTGAAAATATCTGTTGCTTATAATTTGGCCTGAAATGTATTTGAAATTTTATCACAAAATGTCCCTATGTTGAGTCAGTGTCCTCATGTTGGGCCATTTTTATTAATTTTGTATGATAAAATAAGTGTCCCTATGTTGAATTGTCCGCAGGTCAAGGTGTAAATGGAAAGATGTCAACGATTTGAAATTATTGCAAAATTGGAAAGAAAACAAAAATGTTAGAGGCAGAAATGGTTGTATTTCCCT